GGAGACCAGTGAGGCATCCAGCAAAGCCCATTTTCTACACACACACAAACAAACATACACACACACACACACCCACACACACCCACACTCACACAAAGCGCAGAATTTCTACTGATATGACATGCTCACATTTATACTGAAGACCCCTAAAAATTCAGGGTTTGGAACTAATAGAAACAATCCAAGCCATACAACAAGATTTTAAATTTGACTTCACTTATTCTCTAGGTTCTGGAAAAGCCTAAAACTGGAACACATTCCATTGATTCTCATCCACTCCTACTCCAGGCCCTCTTCCTCCCTCTGCCCCAGGGCTCAGGCTCTTTGACCTTCTCACTAAACACTCATCCTGGTGGGCAGACTATGACTGCCACTGCTGCTGAAAGCTAGTAAGCCACCTGACCTGCCTGGAACGCCACCTTTACTACCGACGTTGCTGTTAAATCCCAACCAAATCCACCCTTTGCCCTCCCAGCCCAGCTGCACTTCACTCCCTCTGTCATGCCCTGACGACACGAGCATGTCTGTGCTTGTCCCTCCTCCTCCCTCACAACCAGCCTGCCCCAGGTTCCACCAGCACTCTCTTGGCCCATTCTTTCCTTCTGACCTTGCTGGGGACAGCGACCTACGCCTCCTCCTCTCTCCCTTGTCCAACATGGCAGCCTACTCCCTGGGCCCCTGCCTCCTCTCTTAACCTTCTCTCTGGCCACATGACTCTTCCTAAGACACCTGGGATAGCCTGTCACTACCCCTGTTACAAACCTAAAATGCCACCAACCTGCTACTGACCAAGTAAGGTTCAACTTCCCAGCCTGACCCTGAGGGTCCCAGGTAGACATCCTATCTCTACGTCATCTCCGAGGACTCCCTAAAGACAGCTCTGACCTCTGGCCATGATATCTCAAGTCTTTGCCCCATGACCTTGACTGTCCTTTGTCAACTCTGAGCCTCTGCTCCACGATCCCTCACCTGGAATTCAGGTTCCCTGTCCACCCACTGGAACTGCAGAGCCCTTAATCCAGAAGTGCTCCCAAGTGCTGCTGTGGCCAGTGCTGGGCCTGGTGCCACGGGGTGCATGCTCACTGTCCTGGGGCATGGCTCCTCACCTTGGCCTCCACCTCTACCTCCTTGAGCCCCCAGGGCACTCCCTGCCAGGACCATGCTCTAGCCACTTAATCATTCCAACCATCCATACTGCTACCTATTTGCTCCATGCCCAGGCATCCTACCCCTCCAGAAAGTCTACAAGAGTCTCTGTCTTCTGTTTTTGTGGACACCTGTCAGTTCCCAGCAAAGTGTTCATAGTACTATTGAGAGGTGCTCAACAGTTCTTGAATGAGCAAACCCAGCACAGGTAATACCAAGAATGGCAAAACTTTAAATCTGCTCTTGAATTTTATCTAATTCATAGTCTCTCTCTCTCTCCTCACACCCAGGCCACATCCTGCCAAGCCAACCTTGGGATGACAGACAGGGGAGAAAGGCTCTAGGCTGCCACAGAATCCACAGAACAAGTTCCTTGCCAATGGGTGATAAAGACAAGACTGAAAAGGCGTTCTGCATATGTTATTACATAGCTGTTTTCAGAACCCTTCAAATAACTCTGAAACCAAATGGCAGGACAAATTGGAACCCACCGAACAGGCCGAGTAACCTATTCTCACCATAGTAATGCCTCAAAAACACAGCTGCTGCCAGTGACTGCTCCACAGGAGTGGTGAGGGGATGGGTAAGCCACAATTCACTTTCTGCAGAATGGAAAATGTATTTACTGATTTCACCAAAGTAGTAACTGACATCTAAGAACAAAGCAAACTAACAATCAGCTTTTAAAAAGATTAGATATGAAATCAGGCAGGGGATGGACTCCTAGCTCTGTTACTCACTAGCCATGAAACCCAGGGCAAGTCGCTTTCTCACTTTGGGGCTAAGTTTCCTTATCTGTATTAAGGCGGCATTGGATCAACTAATTCTTGCAGTCTCTTTTAGCACTAAAAACACAATGGCTCTTCAAAAATAAACCTTTGCATATATAGTTTTTTGACAAAGGTGCCAAGACCATTCAGTGGGGAAAGGACAGTCTTTTCAACAAATGGTGCTGGGAAAACTGCATATTCATGTGCAAAAGAATGAAGTTGGACCCTACCCAACACCGTATACAACAATTAACTCAAAATGGATCAAAAACCTAAATGTAAGACCTAAAGTAATAAAACTCTTAGAAGAAAACATAGGAAAAAAGCATCATGACATTGGATTTGGCAATGATTTCGTCGATATGACACTAAATGCATAGGTAGCAAAAGAAAAAATAGACAAACTGGATTTGATGAAAATTAAAAACTTCTGTGCATCAAAGGATGCTATCAAACAGAATAAAAAGGAAATCCACAGAATAGGAGAAAATATTTGCAAATCATGTATCTGATACAAGATTAACAACCAGAATATATAAAGAACTCCTAAAATTCAACAACAAAAAAAAACCTGATTCAAAAATGGGCAAAAGACGTGAAAAGACATTTCTCCAAAGAAGACATAAAAATGGGCAATAAACACATGAAAAATTGCTGAACATGACCAAACATTAGAGAAATGCAAATCAAAACCACAATGAGATATCACCTCACATCCAATAGGATGGGTACTATTAAAAAAAAAAAAAAAACCAAAACAGAAAATAACAAGTGTTAGCGAGGATGTAGAGAAACTGGGACACTTGTGCACTGTTGGTGGGAATATAAAATGGTGCAGCTGCCATGGAAAACAGTATAGCAGTTCCTTGAAAACTTAAAAACAGAATTATCATATAGTCAAGTCAATTCTACTTCTGGGTATATACCCAAAAGAACTGAAAGCAAGGTCTGGAAGAGATATGTGTACACCCAAGTTCACAGCAGCATTATTTACAACAGCCAAAAGGTGGAAGCAACCCAAGCCTCCACTGATAGATGCATGGAGAAGTGAAATGTGATATATATATATATAAAGGAATATTACTCAGCCTTAAAAAGGCAGGAAATTCTGACACATGCTACAGCATGGGTGAACCTTGAAAACGCTATGCTAAGTGAAATAAGCCAGTCACAAAAAGACAAATATTGTATGATTCCACTTATCATACAAGGTACCTAGGGTAATCAAAATTATAGAGACAGAAAGGAGAATGGTGATTGTCAGGGGCTGAAGGAGGAAACAGAGAATTAGTGTTTAACGGGTATAGTGTTTCACTTGTACAAGAAAAAAGGGCTCTGGAATGGATGGTGGTGATGGTTGCACAACAATATGAATGTACTTGATAATCCTGAACTGTGCACTTAAAAATGCTTAAGATTATTCAACTACTCTGAGTTTTCGGGGGGGGAAAAAAAGGTCAAGATGGCAAATTTTATGTTATGTATATTTTACCACAATAAAAATACTTTTAACCCCAAATATATATATATATATAAACAAAATATATATATATTATATATAAGTATATAAATAGTAACAAAAATATATATTAACAGAGAGTGAAAGAATTTAAAAAATATTAGGTAGTTAATTGAGCTTAATATAAGTCATTTCCCTTGTAAATATGTTTACAGTGTTTAAAAACTTGTGATATACAAGGAGTAAAAATAGGAAAACAAAAAAGTTCAACCTCAAATACTATCCTTGTCACCCTAACTGACCAAGGGGCTCTCAGTTAGGGTGACCCAAGCCCAGGAGATCAGCATTTCCCTCTGCAGTTGCCAAGCAGCCACATCTCCAGACATCTGGGGCCTTGTATCCTCACAGCTCCTAGGAAGTTCTCAAAGACTTAATGTTCTCCCCACATGAAGCCCAGGGGCGGTTAGGGAAACCAAAGAAAACACTGCAGAAGACAAATGTAAATTTTCAAAAATACAGATGGCTGAAATGTCAAGAGCCAGTGAGAAGAGCCATTTGGCATATCTAGTGTGTCCTAAGCAGCTTGATTGGAGAGAAGCTTTACTTCAAAATAACTATGATTAATAAGTTAAAAAAAAGAAAGGATAAAAGGGACAAAATGGATATATGGATGGAACATTTCAACAGTACTGGAAATCTATAAAAATAATCAAATGGACATTCTAGGATTTAAAAATATAGTATCTGAGATTGAATTCACTGAATAGGTTTCACAGCAGAATGGGTGAAGCAGAAAGCAGGATTACTGAAGTCAAAGCCTGGTTAATCGAAAATATCCAGAGATAAAAAGATGGAAAAGACAGAACAGAGCATAAAAGACATGTGGGAGATAGTCCAAAGGTCTGACATACACATAATTCGAGTCCCACAAGAGGAAGAGAGAAGAGAGAATATAGGTTAGAGGCAGTCATGGAAGAAATAATGGCCATGAATTTTCCCAGATCTGATGAAAGACATTGGCCCACAGATTCAACAAGTTCAGTGGGCCTCAAGAAGGAGAATTATAGATCAAACCTTACCTAAGCACATTACAGTCAGTCCTAAAAAACCAAATATAGAGGAAAGAAACCTTAAAAGAGGCTGGAGAAAATAAAAAAGGTGCATTATTTTCAAAGAAGCAATAAGACTGTTGTCTTTTTGATATAAAATACAGAAGAGGGAAGACGACAGGATCTTTGAAGCTTAAAAAAGGAGGGAAGGAGGGGTTGAGGGAGGAAAGGAAGGAGGAAGGAAGCTCTGCTAATTTAGAATTCTATTCCCAGTGAAAAGATCCTTCAAAAATTAAGGCGAAATAAAGATGTTTTCAGGCAAAATAGAAAACAAAAAGTAAAGGATTCACTGCCAGCCAACATGCATCACAAGAAATACTAAAAGAGTTCTTTAGACTGAAGGAAAATGGTCCTAGACGGAAGCAAAGAAATGCAGAAAGGGATAAGAACATCAAAATTGTTTTTTTAAAATGTAGATAAATATTGTTTAAAACAACAACAATCATAATGCTTTGTGGCATTTATAACATATGAGTAAAATATATAACAGTAATATGAAGAGTGAGAAGGGATAAATGGAATTTAACATGTGAGGTTCTTAAATTGTTTGGGAAGTGGCAAAAGTACTAATTTAAATTAGACTATAATATATCAAAGATTCATATCATAATCTCTTTTCTTAAAAGAGTGAAAGTACAAACAAGAATGAATAGAGAGAATGAAATAATTAAAAAAATGATTAATAATAAAAAAAATGAGAGAGAAGGAACATCGATATTGTCACATGTGTTGGAATTTCCTTCCTTTTTGTGGCTAATAACATTCCATTGTATGGCTATGCCAAATTTTGTTCATCCCTTCATCATTGGTGGACGCTAGGACTGCTTCCATCTTTTGCCTATTGTGAATAATGCTTCTATGAACATTGATGTACAATCTAAATCACTTTTAGATCAACTTTTTAGTTGAAATACAACCTTAATCACTCTTACCTTCAGTTTTCAGACAATGTGGTAGACAGGATGGGGCAGAGAACCTGAAGTCAGGTAGACCTCGGTTCAAAGCTAGGCTCTGCCACTTACTACCTCAGGGACTGTGGGCAAGTTACTTGGAGGCTCACACACCAAGCACGTACAAATGCCAGGCACACAGCAGGCACACATGGCAGCGATTATTAATGTTACTTTCAGGAGCTCAGAGCACCTCTCTGATGTCAGGCGGGCTGGGGAATGTTAGAGACTCTGGGTCCTCACGGTGCTCGTGTAATAGATACCTGAGACTTGTGCTTTTCATATTGTTCATTTTCTCCCCAACAGACGAGAAGACAAACCAAAACTTATAACAGCTGCCAATCAATGTTTATCTCTATAAAACACATTGTCAACCAATGATAATTGGCCAAAGAGTATTTTACATTTTGCTTGAAAATTCAGTTTCGATTCATCTTACTTTAACTGCCATGTGTTGGTGGCAAACCCAGATTATGAATGATTCATGCATAGACACAATGACTAATTAAACCCAAAAGAGATTATTCATTAAAAAATATAAATGCAAACTTTTTACCCACGGGCTTGCAAGTAGATGTCTGCAGGAAGCATTTGTAGGAAGGTTTATAACCTCAGCTTCTTCAGTGAACAATACTGCAGCTGGCAGATGAAAAAAATACTTGTATTCACACACTCTTTCTTATCATGTAAACCACAGTGATTGAAGCATCTGTACGTGGTTCCTAAATACTTAGTTTTTTGCTGTTTTGATAAATGTTTATGGATTTTTTTTATCATCAGCCCTCTGAGTCTATTGCTCTATTTTGGTGATATCTATCTATACACCCATTGATTTGGGGACAGAGAAGGAGGCTACCTGGGTTCTTAATCAAACCATTTACTGCCAAGACTCCTGAAATTCCCGCTGGTCTGGGAGATAACTGTGACCCTCTCAGTCTCACTGCTCTGCCATTCCATAATTCATTTTTCTCTATCCACAAAATCGAATTAAGATTGACAACATATTTCATAAGTCTATGGCATAGATATCATAAGGAGACAGAACTAACTGCATATAGAATCTCACAATACACCTAAGCTCTTGCAACCTGGATAAGGGCAGTGTTTGAAACAGGAATCACACCGGCCTTGACGGTCAAAGACCTTCCAAACAATGCAAACAATTCAAATACCAATCATCAGATCCTATTCCCCTTAGTTTCAGGGCAGCCATGTGATACAATGAGGCAAGCATAGAGATAACAGAAGAAACATCCCTTAACTGATTTTTAAATAGTTGATCCAAAAGCTTATCGTCTTGAACAACCCTTAATCACATTTGCCAGTGGATTCTCAGCAAGTTACCACAACTCAAACAACAAGAAAAAATTTAACCTATTAAGTATTCCCCCATCTTTTTCTTTTTTTTTTTTTTTGTAAAATGCAGTTTCCTACATCCCTTCAGGCTTGCTTTTATCATTTTGCTTAGAGTCTTGTTGAAATACTGCCTGAAAGCTATGGGCACACAGTTTAAGAAAGGAAACAGCAGTAGAAACCAGAGCAAGCAAACACACGCACACACTCCAAATCCAGGCCCCAAACAGATCTCCTTACATTCTCAGGACTAACATGGAGCCTCTGGCTCTGTCCTCGTTCCCGTCTCCCTCCAAATCCATCATTGGGTCGTGTGTGTGTGGAAACGCTCTACAAAGCAGGTGACGGAGTTTCAAGTCGTCAAATCTTTTCTACCCCTTCTCTCTCTCTCTCTCTCTCCCTAAAAAGGGAATCAATAGCAGTGCCATGTACTTTCATGGGGCTACATAGGCAAGTCTTTCCGGAACTCTGGAATGCCTGCAGGCTGAGGGTGAAACTTGAGAGGACACAGAGAATAAACCCCGGGCGTCATCCAGCCAACCTCTGCCTCCAGCCCGAGGAGCCCACACCCAATGGGCCACAGCAACAAAACTACAAGTCTGCCAACCCCAGGGACCCACTCCACCTTCTGCAGCCCAGTCACCTTCTAGCATGGAGAGAGAGTCGCCCCCTCAACTCTGTTCCTTTCTGATGACAGCCATTGTCACATGCATAGAGAGGCGCACAAGAAACAACACGTGTTCTCTCTGAGATTCATGTCCCGCCTACCCCCAAAAACATGGCACAAAATAAAATTAAGTTACACTCTAAAATGGAAACAGTTTCCACTGGAGGAGGGAGCAAAGCTGTTACAGAGAAAGAATATCAAGGGCAGACTCTGTTCTTAGAGAAAATTTCACTCTGCCTTGTGCAATTGGGGCTAAAACTCATGTCTGTGCACCTTCTAGTCATCGCTGCTGCCTTTCAGAAAGGCTGCACCCAAATCATCTCCAATCAAACCAGTTCTCTCCCCTTAGGGTCCTCCAGTGGACTCAAGCAAATGGTTGTTCTACATGGTGAACCAGACAGAGCTGAAATGGGTTGTCCTGGGGCTCTTTTGGTTTTTTTCTGATTTTCGTGTGCTCTGTAAGTTTGTTTTGTTTTGTGTTTTTTGCTGAGGAAGATTCGTCCTGAGCTAACATCCATGCTGATCTTCCTCTATTTTTTAGCATGTGGGCCTCCAGCACAGTATGGCTGCTAACAGAGTGGTGTAGGTCTGTGCTCAGGAACTGAACCCGGGCCGCCAAAGTGGAGCATGCTGAACTTAACCAGTAGGCCACCAGGGCTGGCCCTGTAAGTTGGTTTTTCCCTCCCTAAGTATCTGAGCTGACTTGGTGGGCTCAATGGAAAGGAAACCTCAGTCACTTGTGTTAGCTACTAGCTCCTAGAAACAGTGGAAGACGTACAACCTGGAAAGAAGATAGGTCAGACTGTTTCTAAGAGGAGGCTGACTTCACTGGCCTGAAAGCCTGGCTTTGAATGTGCCGAGGAAGTGGTTCCCACCTGCTTGCCAGGCTCAAGCCCTTCCCTTCTGGTCAGGGTTGGACTTCCTTCCAGAGTCTCTCCCTGCAACCTCCAAGATGCATCTCAGAGAAGGCACAGTAAACCCTCCAAGAGCCTCCTTTCAAGCTTAAAAATAGTGTAGTTCTTTCTAAGAGGGTGCAACAATCAAAGCTGATGTTTCATCACTCAGCCCCAGGAGCAAACCTGTCATCTTTCCCTTTGGAGCACAGTCTCTGAGACAGCTAACAGAGTCCAGGCATACCTGGCAAACAGGCTACTGGCACACCATTTTTTGCCCTTTCATGATATTGCATGTAGATTTATCCCAAGCTATTAAAAATTAATTATTCACCCCCAAAGAAGCTCTGAATCAGAAGTCAACATTTACAACTCATTAATTAACACGGTCCCTGGCATTAGAGACTCATTATACTGGAGCTACAGTGCTAATCTAATTTTACATGAAAGGAGACGTGTAATGGCAGGAGCTCTGCAAGTCTGAGCCACAGCAAAATCATTTTATGCTCCTCTTTGAATCTGTCAGATTAAATCATACCAAAGGCCTTGGCTGGTTTGTCAGTCACTCCAGAGCACATCTGGCCTTTGGACTGAGGGCCCCAAGTAAAAGGGGCGTAATACAGCTAAGAGGCCAGGGCCTGCCTCAGCACACCATCCACCACCAGCTCTCCATGCTGCAAAGGGGTGGGTCCTCTCTACTGAAGGGTTATCGCTGGAGGAAAATATTCCATGGGAACTGGGTGGGATTCTTCAGAGAGATTAACGTGGCACTGGGGAAACAGGAGACAAAAGGAGATGGTATCATTCTTTTCCCTTCCCCTTTCCTACTCAGCAGGAGAGGACACGTTGCAGCTGATCAAAGTGCCCCGACCACCATCATTATCACTGTCACTTGTATTGGTGCCATACGGGCCCGGCAGCCAGGCACACTGCTGACACTTTATACATCCTCACAACAGCCTGATTCTTCAAATAAAGGAACTGGGGCCGAGGAGGGTAGGGGGTTGGGTTAGATCATTTGTCCCAGGTCATGTGGAGGGAAAGTGACACAGCTGAGATGCCAGTTTGGTTGGACTCTGGTACTGAAGACACCATGAGAAACAAACAGGACAAAGAGCTTTGCTCTGCCCCTTGAAGCTCTCTCAAATCCCAATGCTTCTCTCCCTTCCCTACTGCCAACCCCCCTGCCAGCGCCACCTGTCACCTGGAGCCACTAGCCCCTCAGCCACAGTCCTGCCTTGCTCTGACACATTCTCCACCCTGCAGCCAGAGGAGCAAAGCTGAGTGTGTCAGGCTCCAGCTGGCAGCCCTTGGATCCAGTGGAGAATCTGGCTGGGAAGGCCTTTCTTGATCCATTATCTGGCCCCTGCTGGTCCTTCCAGCCTCATCTTGGGACATGCCCACCCCACCCCACCCCACCTCTCCCTGTTCCCGCCACCCTTGAACTGTCTTTAGCTCCCTGGATAGCCATGCTCTCTCCCCCTCCTCCAGGCCTCACTTTCACTTGTTTCACTGTCACTTCACTAGACTAATTCCTCCTTGCCCTTCAGGTCTCAGCTTACACATCACCTCTGCCAGGAAGCCTTCCCTGACCCGCCAAACTGGGCTGGCTGCCTCTCCTTCTGCTTCCTTTGCCAGGGTGAAGCACTGGACACACTCCACCGTGATTTTCTGTTGATTTGTCTGCCTCCCACAGCAGGCAGTGAGGTCCCTGGCAGCAGGGACTGGTTTTGTTTTCCACTAAATCCTCACCTCCTAGCACTGCCTGGTACAGAGAAACAATAAATATTGTGGAGTAAATATTTATTCTACACCAACTTAAAAAATACTAACCTCTATAAAATTTAGCAAGAAAGCACGTTGTCTAGCTCAGAAATATTAAGCACTAATATGTGCAAGGTACTGGTGCTCCGGATCTATGATTAAAATTATTCAAGGAACAAAATGTGGTCCACACTTTACATGGTTAGAGAGGAAAACTTAATCTACAGTTGAAAAGCAACCCCAAACAAAATCCCAAGGGAATATTTTAAATGAAACTAAAGCTGATTTTAAAATTTACACAGAAAAATCCCAATACCTTTTTGAAATTAAAGAACAATGAGAGAGGATTTATCCTACCAGCTGTTAAACTATTCTTTAAAGCTACAGGGATTAAATTGTGGGATACAGGCACAGGATGGATAAAGACATCAATGGCCAGTAGAGTGCTCAAAAACAGAATAAATTCTGTTGGGAAAATTAAATATACTTTTGGAAAACATAAAAATAGATACCTACTTCACACCTTGCACAACAAATTCCAGAAGGATACAATTTAAAATACACTTGTTAATGGTCCCTTCTCCCCTAAGAGATTTGAATGGCACCTTTATCGGTGAATTCCTGTAAATACATAAATCTATTTCTGGAGATGCTATCCTGGTTTTAAAAATGAAAACCCAGGATTTCCACCCACAGCAGACTCGGCTCTGTGAGACTACCCACTCGGGCTGGACCATGGACACCTGAGCCAATTCTGAAAATACTGCTTCTAAAGCCTCTTCATGGGAGGGGACAGTCATTCTAAAGGTACTCACACGCTGAAGACAACTTTTAATTAATACAGTCCTCATGATTATGATGGACATTTCTGAGACTCCAGCTCTCCTGGCCATCACCTGCCTGGTGGACCAAAACAGGCATGGCTCTGGGAAGCCCCCAGGGCCCAGGGGCAATGTTGGTGA